CTTATATTTATTAGCATCTGTTGATTTTCTTGCCCTTTCTATGTCCTAATCAATTATTGCCTTAACGCTTCCTGGAAATTCATTCATTGTGGCAAGAAAGTGTTAAGTAAAGTCTTCTTTATATAGGCAAACTCTTTTATTTTGCTCTTGAGGAAAAAGATATTCTACATTTCTTTAACCAGCACCATCTGAGCCATCCGAGTTCTGTAAAATTTTATTCTGAATCAGCATTAAAAGAATTTCCCATACCCATATGACCAAACGATTCCTCTTTGGGTATATACCCAAAAGAAATGAAATTACCACCATGTAAAGATATCTGCACTCCCATGTTTATTGCTATTTTGCAGAATTATTCACAATAGCCAAGAAATGGAAACAACCTAGGTGTCTATCAATGCACAAATGGATTAAAAAACTGTAAAGAGTGTGTGTGTGTGTATGTGTGTGTCTGTATAAAGAAATACTATTCAGCCTTCAAAAAGGAGATCCTGCCATTTGCCAGAGCAGGAATGCACCTAGGAGAGATTGTGCTGAGTGAAATAAGCCAGACATAGGGGAAAAAAAAGTATTACGTGGCAAGCCAGATGCAGAAAAAATTACATTATCTCCATTTATATGCAGACTCTGAAAAAAAGATCAAATATATAGATAAAGAATAAAACAGTAACTATCAGGGTTGGAGTAGGGGGGAGGAAATGAGGAAAAGTAGGTCAAAGGATATAAAGTAACAAATATGTAGGATGGACAGTCAGAAGAGCTAATGAGAGGGGAGGGATGAGTAACTAAATGAGATGATGGACATGTTACTATTCTTCCACTATAGTAACCATTCTAATGTATCTATGTATCTTATAACATCATATTGTATACCTTAAATATACACAATAAAATTTGTTTTTAAAAAATTCAAGCCATATTTATAAGTATGTGTGTAGTATTATAAAGTATTAGCTCAAAATATAAAGTGTGGCCCATGCTTTAATTTTAACATGGGACTTTAAAAACCCAACATATTTTTAAAGACATAGAAGAATAAATATCAGGATACAGAGAAGGTTTCATAAGGACATAGGCTTAAAGACTATTATCTCTGGATGAAAAGTGATAGTTGGACTCAAGAGAAGAAATCTGAGAAAGTGTCAGTCATGTGGGCAACTTTTATCAGATTTTCCTAAACAGAATTTAGGACAGAATTACATGGTGTGAAATATCAAAAGAGTGATTTTTTTAAAGTAGCTCATGCAACTTCATTCTTACTCAGCTGTTTTCATATGAATTCTATAAATGCATGTAGTTAATATGTATAATAAATATTTACAAGGGAAACATTTTTGGCAATGCGCATAAAAGATATTGAGGAAAATGTTTTGGAGATAGATGGTGGTAATGGTTATACACAATGTAAGTGTACTTGATACCACTGAATTGTACACTTAAAATGATTAAAATGATACATTTTATATTGTGTATATTTTACCACAGAGGAAAAAATAAAGTTTATAGATTAATAAGAAAATATTGAAATAAAGTAATATTATAATATTCTCAAGTACAGCTCACATCATTTAGAAAAGTATAACATTATCACCACATGACACAATATAACAATATCAATTTACCTAAATAAGACTGGTTATTTAGAATCATTTAGGAAAAATTTAAATGCACTAAAAGAATTTTAACCATAAGCTAAGATATAGGAGTTAATCAATCATAATAATATTTGTTTTCTTAAACGGAATCACTATTATTAAAGCTATGGAAATGTTTAGCATCCTGATTTTATGCATTGGATAAAGATTACAATATTCTTGCTCCTGTTTAATGTTTTATAGATTATGTTTCTTACTGTTTTATAAACATTAACTATAATTTATATACTAAAATGATACAGTGTGTTAATATAATAAACATTTTAGTGTTTCAAACAATAAGCATAATGAGCATTATTATTTAATGTCATAGGTATATCTATTAATACAATTTTGGGTTTTTAAAATATTGCTTAATCATGAGTCAAATATATGAATGTATCTGGATTTTAATTCATAGTGAATTATTTCATAGTAAGTCAAATAATTGTTAAATAAGGCAATTTTTAAGAGAACTATTATTTCTTGGTTTATTTCATAGAATACATCAATTTAAATTGTTTGGAAATAAACTTGCAATATCCACTTGGATGGAGATGCTAGAAATGTTTGTCACACATCAATATCAATACAGAAATCTCTTTTTTAAGCTTCTCATTTCAAATGAATAATAAATGGCTATATTTATCCCTTCATGAATATTTACGTACCAGAAGTTTTGATGAGACTCTTCCTTTAAGAATTGTTTTAAACTGTTTTCTACACTCAAATGTGGAAAATTTCAGATAATATTAGTTTTTCATGCATTTTATTTAATAACAGCAAAAGGAATCATAAAGGGAAGCTATATGGCTGGAACAAATGGAGCCTATTTCTGAGAAATTGCAATTATCCTTGATTTTTGATTTACTCTTATCTACCACAAGGTGATAAATTTGACAGAAAGTCTTCTTAATGGCTTCTGTGCATGAAGAACTAGTTTTCATTCTATTAATGAAGTGCCTCATTATCCAGTCTTTTCCTGTCTAGTGGTCTGAGGCATTGTTAGTATCAAGACTCCTGTCTCCAGTGAAAATCAATGCTTCAAAAATCTATTGCATAGTTTATGCCAGAATTGTTTCATAGTTAGTTCTTAATAATCAACATTGTATAAAATATAATTACAAAAGTCATATTATATGTACACATCCTCTGTGGTGAAATAACACCCTTTAAAGGCATTAAAATTCATCTAAAGTTGATATAGACCAAGCAAAGTCAAGGGGAGATCATGTGTTTTGACTCACAAAATTGTTATTGATCTGGTACTAATTTGACTCTAGCAGTTATATGCTTAACCCATACTTTATGATTAAATTTATCATTGTTTGATTTTATCTTGTTGTTTTTTTTTTCAGTTAGCTACTGGTTTCATCTATAGTTATTTTATCAATATTAAATCCTTATTTCCTCTATCACTCTTATTCTGAGTATATCAGCTCACCTATTTTATAAAGTTCATCACTACAGCCCAATAAGTGAACTCTAATACTGACTCTCTTCCCCAATCTCTATAAACCCTTTTTCTCTTTTTTCCATTCTTTAGGTCTCTGAGGAGTGTTCCTCAGAAGCTGAAGAGATCTAAAAGACATATCATCCATGCTCTATTTCTGGCCAGATTGTCCATTATGGCAAATTTGGAAAAGATATGTAATTATATAAGAAAAATAACCCATGGTGATTCCATCTGATAAAAGAAAATATTTAAAATAATTTTCCTTCATTTTTTCTATATTTTCAGCCTATTATCCAAGCTTTCTTAATTCTTCTGGAGCATTGTACTATAATAAACTTCACTGAACAACTTCTTCAATCTCTTTCCATTTTTTTCCTTTTTTCTACAAATATATATGTTTTTTCCCCACACTTAAATATCAACCACAAAACTTTGTTAACAATGATGTTGTCAAATATCTTATCTTTGCTGCCATATTTCTTGAAAAATAACTTGTATTGTAGACGTAATTTTCCCATGATGTACTCACTTTTAACATTTGACAAACTGGTTTTTGGTGTCCAACACTTTGTCCAAACCAGAGGAGCTTTTTGTCCTAACCATCCTGGATTCAATTCATTACTGATATTCCCTTCTTAGAGAATTTCTTAAAGGACTGATGCTGTCCTTATTACACTTAATTCTGTTTTTAGGTTTACATAAGGGAGCAACCCCCTGCCTTATTTTTTAACTTTTTGACAACTCTGTCCCACTATTGGCTTGATAAGGATAGTAAGAAGTGAAGAGAGAATGGCAGGTTCAGATGGAAGAAATTTTTGCAGATTCTGCACTTCCACTTTAGTTGAGAAACATCAGTAGACTTTGTTTCTAGGCAACATTAATAAATGATTAATTATTAACCTATATCTAATTGCTATGTTAGATTTTAGTGCATATCTCTTAGGAAGCATACATTTTAAAATTTTTAGCCCATTTGAATGCATAGTGTCTGAAATATATACTTTTCAAATTTATGTTAGTTTTAAAGGTTAATTTATAATTTAAAAATTAATTAATTCAGGATGTTAACAATTTTCCATTACTTTAATCTCACATTATAAACAGTATTAAATTCAATTTTCAATATGTTATAACGTACTATATGAGTTGATGAAATAACTGTCATTTTGGAGTTTCTGCTCTAACTGTGACATGGAAGGCCTACTTTGATCACTGCTGCAAGTGGCTAAATCTCTGGAAGAAAGTATTCAGCATTCAGAAATAGTGTCTAAAAACAGAGAGACCTCATTTTATTTCAAAGGGAAGACAAAATCTTCCATGTGCATATCCCTTTGTCCTTTCTATGCTATTCATATTATATTTGGCCTTGAAAACTGCAATTACACTTTTTTGTTTTCTATTTAGAAATGGGCTGATTTCAAAGAAAGAACAGAATCAATGATCTTGGTGTTTCCACTTTCTTCACCTAAGCATAAGTCTATGTTAATCTAAACCAATCATGCATAACCATTATATAGATGCCAATAGAAGCTCTGGAATCTTACCATGTATTGATAAAGCCAAAAACTGAATACAATTGAACCCAACTAAGAAAACTGAAATAAGAAGATATTTTAGCCAGAAGAATTTTAAAAATGTATATGCTCCTGAAAATTTAAAATAAGACAGACTTGCTAACAAACAAATTTGGACTTTATAAATATATGTGAAAAGGTTTATATTTACAGGAAGTTCAATTAAAGGAAACTAGTTCTGCAGCAGCATGGAAAGATCCTATCTTTTCCGTGTAATGTGTGGTGCACTGAATCTTTATTGCTGTGTTAGAATATGCAACTCTCCATGCCAAGATTTAATTAAAGTTTAAATATTTGAAGGGGTGGTGATAACATTGTCTCTAATAAAAAATTTACCTGTCTTGGGATCAATAGAGAAATAAGGTTGTCCCTGAAGAATGCTGTAAACGACTCTGGCACTGTTTCCATAGGTTGGGTCATCTGCATCCGTGGCCTTGACCTGGAGCACATAAGCACCTGGAAAATAAGACAATAGGACTCTAGAATTTTTGTTTTACATAGTTCAAGGTCGTGTCTGTTATCTGTTCAACTCCACTTTCCTTTGGAATTTGGCATTTCTCAGGAATGCTGTGAGTATATAAAGTCACTGAGGATAATTTAACCATTCTAATGATAATTTGGGGCAAGGATATACCTGTTAGTACAAATGACACATATTTTAAATGTCTATTCTAAAAGCTGTGTCCATTTCCAGTAGCTACATTATTGAACTGAAAGTCATCATGACAGCTTTATTGATTTGCACACCAAGGAAAACATGGATACCACCTACATTAGCTCATCTGCTTACTATTGATGCCTCAATTTTATGATCACAATATCAATAGAGAAGCTAAAAGGTTTAGAGCTTACTGAACTTCTTCAGAGATTGTTAAGTAATTTGCAATTGCAATTTAAAAATCAACAACTACCGACTAACATTAGGAAGTCTTTAATTAGAAAAAGAATTTCTGAGAAATTGAGGAACCATAAATAACAGCAAAAAAACCAAAACGGGAACCCCTTGCCCCAAAAATGAAATAAACCAAAGAATCAAGGAACCAAAAAAAAAAAAAAAAAAAAGCAAAATAACCGGAAACTTTCCAAATTTTTTTGTCATAAGCATATTTTTAGGGGCTAAGAGAAGTTAAAGGGAGATTTCTTTCCTATCTATTTTTAATCACTTTCTAAGAACTTTTTAAGTGAGTATCCCTTATTAAAGTCTTACTCAATGTTACTATTTTGAGTTCAGAACAAATTAAAATCAAAAACATCAAAAATTGAACCAATTAAGATAAATATGTGGCTGGTGGGTAGTAGGAAATATCTACCGAGCATGACACGAGTATATCCAGCCAGAGTTACACAGTGAGCAAAACCCTCTTCATCTCTTGGAGGCATTCAGAGTAATTGCTCTGTTTGGGGAAAGCATGATTGTCCCTTTCCATTCAGGGGCTCATTCCACCTTTACTCTGAGGAGTACAAATGTGAAACAAATCAAGTCTTCACAGTTTCCTATAAAAGCTAATAGAATGAATCATCCTTTCACCTCTGCTTTTTTAAATAAAATGTTATTGTTTTGGTAAGAGTAAGAAATGATAACTTCCTGTAGACATCACATGCCAAATGTTTTCAGTTTAACATGGTTTGGTGACTTATAGCTATATTATTAGTAACAAATGAAAAATGTTATAATAGGCTTTCCCAGGAAAGGAAACTTCTAGAAGGAAAGTAGGCAACTATTACTAAGAAGCCAAAAGTAAAGACTGATATGTTCTATCATCATCATCACCATCAATATTTATCCTATCATTAATTATAATTTGATAAATTTTTTATACAAAGCATTGTGTATCTGTTGTAAAGATTCATCAAAATTACCTTTCCCATGGAAATAAACAGTTTATTAAGGGTAAATTCCCCTCTTCCAAGCAGTGATCTTTCTCCCAGAGTCTTCGTCTGGATCTTTGCTGTCTCATCACCAAACATGTGTTATATTGGCAAAGTCTACAAATATTAAATACTGCCCCTGTTTTATATATAAATGATGCAATTGAAAATCTATGAGTTGTTCCTCACTCTGGATACATTTGAAGAAAAATTTTTGCATTTAATAACAAATAGGAAATTAAAAATATTTAAGAAATAAGAAATATTTATTAACAAATTTAATAAACTTTTGCTAAACCTATGCCATATGCAATGTATAGTGGGGAATAAAAAGATGCATACATATTGTCTTCTCTTTTACATTTTTGTTTTTAATGTTAATACGGACCTCCATTAAGTATGCTGAACATGATATTTTACTATTTTCTTCCAAAAGTAGTATTAAATTCTTTAAGTTAATCATGTTTAAAGCTCTAATGTTTAAAGGAGTGAATTAGTGAATTGAGAAATACTGCATTCATGCATAGATGTAGCAGATATTTGTAATACAATCCCACTTTGTGCAAAGCAAAAGGATAAGTGGATAGCAAGAATAAGTGCACCTGTAGCATATTTCTTCAGTTCTATTCATAGTATTAAAATAATTATCCACTCAATTACAGTGTATTTTAATGCTTCTTTAGGGAAAAAAGCAGATTCCAATGTGAGTTCTCCAAGAGTGCTTAAAGCTTGCCTCTATAAATGTTTACAAGAACATAATTAAACACCATTATATCAGCTTGTTTTGTTGGTTGCTCCACGACTTTCACCAAACTAATGCAAAAAGAGACTTCACACTCGGTTCCTGACACTATTAAACATTAAATGCCTAAGAGGTAGGAGCAGGAGGTTGAGGTTGGGGGCATGTTTAACATGCAACAAGGAAATAATATAATTATTTTGTAGAATAACTATAGAAACCAAAGTAGTCTTATATGCAGCAGTCAGCCTGAATTTGTTTTTATCACTCAAATCCAGGAATGACAATATAACCACTCTAAATGGTGAATTGCAGAGAGAATGTAGCTAACAGAGAAAATACTCCTTGGTATGTGGCTAGAGATAGAGTACACAATGTGCCAAGTAACACTGATTGATCAGTAACAAATTTTTAATTAGTGTATTTTTTAGTATCAGTTAAAGCAAACACTAAAAGTCATTTTATAGTAACTGCTAAATTCTAAATCTTAAAGTCACTCAAAAGAGAATAAATATTTATAAAACTGTGATAAAGCAAGGGACAGAGAAATTGATCATTGAGAATTATAGGACCATGATGAAGAAAGAAGAGGCATCAGGAGAAGCCCATTTGATATAACCTGCAACTAAATAAGTGATCACTAACAATAATCATTGACTATGAGTTAGAGTTCATATGAAATCAAATTTGTATATTATATTCACTAAGGCTAGAATAACAAAATACCACAGATTTGATGGCTTCAACAATAGAAATCTACATTCTCATAGCCCTGCAGGCAAGAAGCCCAATATCAAAGTACAGAAAGATTTGGTTTCTTGTGAGAGCGTTCTTCCTGCCCACTCACTGTATCTTCACAGGCCTTTCCTCTGTGCACATGTAGAGGGAGAGCTCTGTGGTGTTTCTTCCTCTTCTTATAAGAACACCAGTTCTATTCTATTAGGGCTCCACTCCTATGACCTTGTTTAATCTTAATTACCTCCCTAAAGGGAGGTATCTCTACATATAGTCACATTAGTGGTTAGGGCTTCAACACATTAGTTTGAGGGGGACACAGTTCAGTTTATAAAAGATATAATTTTTATTATACAGATGTATATACATTAAAATATATTAGAAGTTGACAATTTGGCAAAACATTGTTTATATCCATGTTGCAAAATACAATCATAGCATGATGTGATCTCAATATTGTGCAACTTAAGATTCATATCATCATAAAATTCTGAAATAGGCTTGTTAAAGAGGGATATGTTACCTAGATGAATTAACTTAGAGTCAATATTATTTTGTCCAATTTATGTGTAAAGTACTAATAAAAAGCATGATATTTTACTTTTTAATTCCAATTTTGAAAATTGACACATTCAATACCTTATATGGTAAGGCAATACACAAAAACACAAAGTGGTTTAATGACTTCTAATTTCTAATGACTTCTCCCAAAGTAATGTTCATTTATTTACCCATTGATTCAGTTATTCATTTTACAAATATTTGTTGTCTACCTATAAAGTGTCAGATACTTTGTTCAGGATACTAGGGAAGCACCAGGAACAAAATTGAGAGGCCAAATCATCAAGAATAATATCCAGTTTAGAGGGGAAGGGAAGGATAAATAGATTCAAAGTGAGGGACTTTTTTATATGGTAATAAGAAAAGGAAACTATCATAAACTGTAGTCACCATGTGGTACACTAGATCTCCAAAATTTATTACTCCTACCTAAATGAAATTTTGTAGACTTTGACCAACATCCCCCTACTCACCCCTCCTGCTTCACTAAACCACCAGCCTCTGGTAACCACCATTCTACTCTTAGTTTTTATGAGGTTTTTACTCCGTGCTGAGGCAGCTCTAGGTACATAAAGGTCCTGAGGCTGGGGAGTGTTGGAAGTGTTGAGGGAAACCTCAGGAAAATCAAAGCCTCCTTTACTATGGATGGAAAATGAGATGGAAGAGATGGTGAAAAAAATGCTCATGTATGACTTTTTAAACTGCTGTTAGGACTATTTTAGGTTTTAGCTACCCACCCCATATCAATTTGTATTTACCTCATTATAATTATGTATCTATCTACATACCCAGTAACCTGTATTTCAATTTTTATTCACATGAAATAGATGGAAACATTCACACATTCTTTTTCCCCCAGAATGAAACAAAACTTGAATACACTTGCACGTAATTTCTACTTATTGTAGGATGCAATTGTATTACATTAAAATTAAATGAAAGCATCACTGAAATAAAAATATATTGAGTAAGAATCCAACAAAGTGTGTAGTAGTGTGCAATTTGTAATGACTACTTTATTTTCATATTATTTTTATCTGTGATTAAATTTTGTTGTTTTCCAGTATAATTTCTTGAACCTTGCTTTATTCATTAAATAATAAGTTCAACAGATGTTATAAAAGCACACAAAAATCCATTTCATTATTTGTAATCAATTTCCTTTAAATGGTCACTTTGTTTAGAGGATTTTGTTTATTTTCTCTATTACAAACAGGGCTGCAATTGGTAGTATTGGGATAGCTGGGTCAAATAGCATATGAATTTGACATAATGATATGTATTGTCAGGTAGATTAATGAAAAATTGTACTAATTTACATTCCTACCAACACAGTATGTTTTCTAGCATTCTCACCAGCCCTCACTATTCTTATTTGAATTTTTTATATTATATTTGAAGTGTAGCACCTTATATTTTTTGGTTGTTTCTATCTTTATCTTTTGTGTGTAGGTATGTATATATGCAACCTGTGCTCATATTCTTAACCCATTTTTAATATATTATATCTTTGTCTACCTCTTGAAAAGTGTATTTACTAGCTTATTTTTAC